GAAGGCACAATTTGGGCTGGGGTTGTGGCTCAGTGGTAAGAGTGCTTGCCTAGCATGCGTGAGGTACTGGATTCGATTCTCAGCATCCATACAAATAAATAAAATAAAGGTCCCTCAACAACTAAAAATATATATATTTTAAAAAAAGAAGGCACAATTTGACTATGTGGAACTGTTTCAAGGATCACCAGTTCAGAAAAGGCAGAAATGGAGGCCTTTATGGCTCTCTTTTTGCTCTTCAGACACCCTACTCACCTCTCTACTTCTGTTCCAGGGCTCAGGAAGAAAGTACAGGGCTGCTGAGTGGCCTCCGCATCTGGCACACCCAGCTGCTCCCTGGTGGTCTTCAGGGCTTTATTCTCAACCCCATCTTTCGCCAGAATCTCCGCATTGCCCTTCTGGGTGGGTATGTTACTTCCGTCTCTTCCTAAACTAGGCCGGGGAACTGCTAATTACATGCTGGAGGAGAACTTCTGAGGAGCCGCCTCAGAACCTTAGGGTCCTGGGACCTTTGGGAGCTCATTCAGGAATAAGTTGGACCAGATATGGCTGTAGGATGTAGGATGTATGAACCATGGGTTAAAGGTGTGAAAGGTTGAAGGGCAGCAGGAAAGAGATAGGCCTCCTTATTCTTGGCATATCCTGGCCATAGGGGGAAGGCCTGGTCTGATGATACAAGTCAACTGGGACCGGACAAGCATGCCCGGGATGTTCCCTCACTTGACAAGTACGCTGAGGAGCGATGGGAGGTGAGGACATGGGCATCTAAGTGTATTTCTACTGTGCTTCTACTTCCTGTGGTTTGTGGATACTTTGGTCTCTCTGTTGTCTTCCATTTCTAGGTGGTCTTACACTTTATGGTGGGCTCTCCCAGTGCAGCTGTCAGCCAGGATTTGGCTCAGCTCCTCAGCCAGGCTGGGCTCATGAAGAGGTGAGGAAGCCTGAGGGAGCTGCTGTGCCATCTCCTTGGGGCCCTGATAAAATAGGTGTCCAGGGTGAGTCAGGATTGGAGGGAGTTGATTGAATACATCCAGAGATACCCAGAAGAAGCATAGGAGGACACATGGAAGGTTGGGGTTGTGGCTTAGCAGTAGAGCGCTTGCCTAGCATGTCCAAGGCCCTGGGTTCGATCCTCAGCACCACATAAAAATAAATAAATAAAATGAAGATGTTGGTATTGTGTCCAACCAAAAAATAAATATTTAAAAAAATGAGGACATGTGGAGATGGTAGTCTTTCTATGCATATCTTTGTCATTGTCCCTCTCTATGTCTAGTACTGAACCTGGAGAGCCACCCTGCATTACCTCTGCTGGCTTCCAATTCCTCTTGCTGGACACACCTGCCCAACTCTGGTACTTTATGTTGCAGTATCTGCAGACAGCCCAGGTGAGGAGGCCAGGGCTCCTTGCCAGCATGCTTTGATCTTCTTACATCCCACTGAGAGATAACCACCCATAGACTGTTCTCTGTTCTTTCTTCCCTGTCTTTCTCCTTCATTTTCCCCCTCCCATTTCTCATTTGTTTCTGTCTCTTTCTTCCCAGAGCCGGGGTATGGACCTAGTGGAGATTCTCTCCTTCCTCTTTCAGCTCAGCTTCTCTACTCTGGGCAAGGTAAGTAAGGGGCTAGAGGACAAGGAGATGGGAAGGGGAAGTCAGGTTGGGACAGTAGAGTGAGAAAATAAGAAGGAACACAGAACGACCAGAGAAGGGGGAGGAGGGAATGAGTCTATGGCACTGAGGGAGGGAGGAAGGGATGTGTTTTGAAAAGGTATTACCTTTTCCCCAGGATTACTCTGTGGAGGGTATGAGTGATTCTCTGTTGAATTTCCTGCAACATCTGCGAGAGTTTGGACTTGTTTTCCAGAGGAAGGTATGAACATCCAGATACATGGCTTCTAGGGAAGTTGGGTCTTGGCACCAGCAGGAAACAGTTGCCAGGACTGAGTACTTGGGTCACTTGGGGAGGAAGTTGAAGGTTGAGGCTCTGTGCACTGGGAGGGATCTGATGTCCCAAGCAGGAAGATGTAGGGCAACTGACAGGTGACCTTTGTCTTTCCCTTTGTCCTTCCCAGAGGAAATCTCGACGTTACTATCCCACACGCCTGGCCATCAATCTCTCATCAGGTGTCTCTGGGGCTGGGGGCACTGTGCATCAGCCAGGCTTCATTGTCGTGGAAACCAACTACCGACTATATGCCTACACGGGTGAGACTGGACAGAGGGAGAGCAGATTAACGGTGGGAGTGGGAGGGGAAGGAAATGGGAGGGGATGCAGTTTATGTTTACATTTACTGGTGGTTTACAGAGCTGATATTTCTCCTCATGTTTGGGGGAAGGGCTCAAGGGAGTCCGAATATGAGGGTAGCTTCCTTATCTTCTCTTCCTATCCCTGGGTCAGAGTCGGAGCTGCAGATTGCCCTCATTGCCCTCTTCTCTGAGATGCTCTATCGCTTCCCCAACATGGTTGTGGCACAGGTGACCCGGGAGAGTGTGCAGCAGGCCATTGCCAGTGGCATCACAGCCCAGCAGGTATCCCCACTTGGGGGACACAGAGGTGTGAAGATGGGCTGTGTGTGGGCCTTGGGGTATAGAGTGGCCCATCATGGAAGGCCAGCCTCAAGTCTGTCACAGTTGTGGTGATGAGTTGTCTGTGTTTGAGCACAAGGAATGTAAGGAGAAATCAAGGCCTTAGTTGTGGGAATAGGGAGACCCTTGAGGGAGAAATACATGGAGGGAGAAGGTATAGCTCTGGATTTGTGCTTCAGCACCATTATTTCTAGCTGTGTAAACTGATCATAGTTGCCTTACCTTTGAGTCTCAGTCTCCTCAGATGGTGATATTTCTCAGCTCACAGGGTTGTTGGGAGGATTCAGTGGAAGACTAGAGGTAAAGCTTTTAACTTGAAGTCTGTTGAGCAGTAAGTGCTCAAAATATAGTAGCTACTGCTATTTTAAAGAAAGAATAAATAAGACTATGGAAAGAGCAAATGTGCCAGAGAAGGAATAGCAGACATGACCAGTGGGAGCAGCAACTTGGGATAACAGCTGAACAGGAATGGGTTGAGTAGAGTTAAGTAGAGTTAAGAGTGTTCGGAGACAGGTGAGAGCTCTGATGACTTTTCTGCCCTCTCGCTTGAGCCCTCATCTCATTTTTGTCTGTTTTCCTAGATAATCCATTTCCTAAGGACAAGGGCTCACCCAGTGATGCTCAAACAGGTATGGACAAGTACCAATAAGCCAGGGGGCTGGCACCTGGCAGATGATGGAAAAGAAAAAGGGTCCAAATCTTGGGGATGATTAGAGGGCTGGGGTTGTTTGGGGCAGTATTTTTTAAATCCCTACAGCCTACTCTTTGCTTCTGCAGACCCCTGTGTTGCCCCCTACCATCACTGACCAGATTCGTCTGTGGGAGCTAGAAAGGGACAGACTACGGTTCACTGAGGGTGAGTGGCTTCTTGAGTTTAAGTCATTGGCCAAAGGAATGGCAGTCTTGATGAGCAGAGGAGTTTTTGTGCATTTCATTTTTTGTGCACTGCACAGAAAGGGAGAGAAAATCTGGCAAGACACTTTTTTGGGGGATGGAGTGTGGCAGGGGTGAATTAGTAGCAATAAAAAAAATTGACCCAGGGGCTGGGGTTGTGGCTCAGTGGTAGAGCATTTGCCTGGTATGTGCAAGGCCCTGGGTTCAATTCACAGCACCTCATATAAATAAATAAAATAAAGGTATTGTGTCCATCTACAACTAAAAAATAAATTTTTTTAAAAAAATTGATCCAAATCAGTGCAGTGTGGATTAGACTGAGAAAGTGGGAGGCTTAATTCAGTCATTTTCCTGGGTTTCATGGACCTTCACGGGTTTTCTTATTGTTTTATATTGACTTTCTGAATATGGCTGGAGAACACTAGTGTTAAGGCCCTGGGCAGACAAGGATAGACAATTGTTTTTAAAAATCGCTGTGGGGCAAGCAAAGAGGTGCCTTAAGACTCCTGGGGCTAAATAAAGGGTCTCCAGCCTCATTCTCTTCCCCTCTTCCCCTCCTGTCCTGCCGACCCCAGGTGTCCTGTATAACCAGTTCCTGTCGCAAGTGGACTTTGAGCTGCTGCTGGCACACGCACGGGAGCTGGGCGTGCTCGTGTTCGAGAACTCAGCTAAACGACTCATGGTGGTGACCCCCGCCGGGCACAGTGACGTGAAGCGCTTCTGGAAGCGGCAGAAGCACAGCTCCTGAAAGAGTTTAATCCACCACGGACCTGGGCGGGCGGGACCGGGCTGGGCGGGCAAGACGGCCGTGTGACGGAGGGCGCGGCCTCACAACTCAGGTGTTTTTTTATTTACACGCCAGGGCTTATCTTGTTTAATAAAATTGTGGAAATGAGCTCTGTGGCTGGCTCGCATCGCTTCCTCGCGGGCTTCCCCTGCCGCACTGTACCGGTTCCTTGGCTCCGGCTGCCATAAGCCTTGCAGGTGGCGGGAGGACAGCTTCCGCGCATGCGCCTCGCGGGGCCCCGCCTCCTAGTGCGCGGGGCTTGCCGGGCACGTTCCAGGGTCCGTACGCCGGCGCCTGTCACCGCGGGGCGCCCTGGGATAGCGGTGGGGTCGCGGGGGTGAGCGTGCAATGGGGTGTCTCCCAGGAGGTGGGAGGGGCAGCGGGGTCTGGCGCACAATGTGGGCCTAGCAGAAGGACTGGTCCGCGCGGGCTGGGGATCTATGGGTTCCGCCAGGGCAGGCGGTGAGCCTAGTGTCTGTGGCGGGGCTTCTTACCCGCTCCTAGGCGCGCGGATGCTCATCACCTCTCAAACTATTGAAACCTCTCTGTTCCTTGTGTCAGCGGTCAGCGTCGTGACGCAGATGCATAGGTCGAGGGGCAGAGACTCTCCGACCCTGCTCCAGAAGCGCCCTAGTCTCCATGGCTGCAGGGTCCGGTATCTCTCGATACAACGTACTCAGGCACTTAAGGAGCAGGCACTTAAGGAGGCAGAGTTGTGTGGAAGGAGATAGAATGAGAGAGCACTGCTAGGAGGAGGCAGGAAATAAGGGAATGACTGGTGGGTGTGACTCTGTAGCATCCCGGAATCCTTATGTGCTCTCTGTCTATCCAAAACAGATCTTGACCTCTTCCCAAACACTCCTCATGCCTCATTTGCCTCTGGCTTCTTTTCGACCACCACTGTGGGGCCTGAGGCCCTCATGGGGCCTCCCTAGGCCCCATTCCCTTTCTACACAGTCAGAGCCCTATGGATCTTCCCTTTCCCGGAGGAACCGTGAAGCCAAACAGAAGCGTCTGCGGGAGAAGCAGGCGGCTCTGGAGGCTGGACTTGCAGGGAAGAGCAAGGTTAGAAGTCAGTCTGTCCTTGGGTTTGAAACTTGGAAGGGGGCTGGAGGAGACGACTGGGATCCAGATGGCTGAGGTATACTGGGAATTACAAACTCTTTTTCTGTTCCATCCCACCAGTCATCTGCAGAATCCACTAAAGCCTGGAGTCCTAAAGAGATACTATTGTATGAAATCCCTACAAAACCTGGTGAAAAGAAAGGTAACCAGGGAATCTGAAGGCCATCTCTCATATTTTTGTTGCCCATTTGGTCTGCTGAAATGCAGCCTGGAAGAAAGTTAAATAGTTAGTGGACTCTCTTTTGCCCTTCTGCTTCCACAGATGTTTCTGGGCCTCTGCCTCCTGCTTACAGCCCACGATATGTTGAGGCTGCCTGGTACCCGTGGTGGGTGCGAGAGGGCTTCTTCAAACCAGAATACCAGGTTAGTGTCCTGAAGAGAGGGTTACTAAATGGTTCCCAGGACAGAGTGGCCTTTGAGGTTGGGCACAATAGCCTCTGAATTGAGCTCATATTTCATAGCTTTCTTTTTTTGGCCTCACATTTTCTTGTTATTTCCTAGAAGTTCTTTCTGCATTGGAGGCACCAGAGGGTGCTATTGCCCCAGGTAATGTCCAGTCCTCTCCTTTGACTTTCTTCTAGGCACAACTGCCCCAGGCTACAGGGGAGACCTTTTCCATGTGTATCCCACCTCCCAATGTCACTGGTTCCCTGCACATCGGCCATGCACTCACAGTGGCCATACAGGATGCCCTCGTGCGCTGGTGAGGGGAATGGGGACTGCAGTTCTTGGAGGGGAAATAAAAAGTGCAGGAATGAATGAAAATAACCATGTGAACTCAGGGTCTCAAGTGAGGGTATTTCTGTTTCAGGCACCGGATGCGGGGAGATCAAGTGCTGTGGGTTCCTGGCTCAGATCATGCAGGAATTGCTACACAAGTAGGTCTTTTTGTCATTTTCATTTTCTCAGGCAAAAGTGGTATCTTCTCCAAAAACAACTTGATTTGTTATGCATTTGCCTTACACCTACTGCAGGCTGTGGTGGAGAAACAACTGTGGAAGGAGCAGGGAGTGAGGAGACACGAGCTGAGCCGAGAAGACTTCCTTAGGGTGGTGTGGCAGTGGAAGGAGGCGTGAGTGTGATGATCTGGGTTGCAGGGGCCGCCCAGTGTTGGCAGGTTGAGCTCTGGTTTTCCACTACTGTCTCTCCTAACTTGTAGACCTCAGTTCATCTCAACACAGTTCTCACTTTTCAGAGATGGGAACTCTGAAACCCCTTAGTATTGGGTGAAGTTTCTTAGCTTTGTATGTGTATATGTATGTATTTTATATACATCAGAATGTATATGTTTGAGCTGAGCATGCCTGTAATCCCAGTGACTCAGGAGGCTGAGGCAGGAGCATTGCAAGTTTAAGGCCAGCTGTAGCAATTTAGCAGCCCTTTAGCAACTTAGTGAGACTCATTCTCATAAAAAGGGCAGGGGATGTGATTCAGTGGTAAAGTGTCCCTGGATTCAATCCCCAGTATCAAAAAGAAAAAAAAAAAAAGATGTGTTTGTGTGTATATTTGTATAGATGTTTGTGTATATGTGTGTGTGTGTGTGTGTATATATATATATATATATATATATATATATATATATATATATATCCTGTCTACTTATTTCACTTTCTCACTTTCTCTTGCTTAGATTTCATCACCTCTCCTACTTGCCCATTCCCAACTTCCAGACCCTTAAAATTTCTCTCATTCTTCTAGGTCTTTTATCACTTGCTGTTTTCTCTGTGCAGCTTTCTTGGATTTTCCACAGATTGGCTTCCCCTCCTCTGTTATGTTTCTTTTAATGTCCTAGAAAGCCCTCCACTTGGTTTGTGGGTCTGTTTCCATCAGCTTCTAGAGGCTAGATGATTTGTGTTATACGTTCTTTTGTTTTCCTCCAATACTTGGTGTTGGTGGAGGCAGCATTGGGCCTGGTACCTAGAAGGTCTTGGGATATGTCTGCTGACAGGTATTTCTCTGGGTGCAGGAAAGGAGGAGAGATTTATGAGCAGCTGCGTGCTCTGGGTGCCTCCCTGGATTGGGATCGAGAGTGTTTTACCATGGATGCTGTGAGTGTCCTACACTGGGGTCTCTGTGGATGTTGGAGGGGAGTGTGGTTAGAGATCTGTGTGGGAGGGGGCTTATTGAGTATATTGGGAAAGGGAAGTAGAAGTGACCAGGTCCCTGAAGGGAGACATTCTGAGAAGGGGCTGCTAGATGTGGACACTCAGGTCATTCTAGGGCTCCTCAGTGGCTGTGACCGAAGCTTTTGTGCGACTCTACAATGCAGGATTGTTGTACCGGAACTGTCAGCTTGTCAACTGGTCGTGTGCTTTAAGATCAGCTATCTCGGATATTGAGGTGAGGCAGAAGAAGAGAAGAAGGTTTGTGAGAGCTCTGAGGCAGGGTAGGCAAGTAGTTAAGAGCTCAGACTCTGGAGCCAGACTGCTTGGATTCAAATCTGCCACAACCAGCTATGTGACTTTTGTCATGCTATTTAGCCTCTTTCAGTCTCTACTTCCTTAACCTATAAATCAGAGAGATGGAATGCCTGCCTTGTGGGACTGTTGTAAAGTTTAGATGAGAATTTGTGCTTAGGTGCTCAGTGAATATTTACTCTAACAAAATTTGGGTGAGGGTAAAGGGAGGTGGCTCTTCTGAATGGATTTAGATGGATTATAGGGAGGTTGGGGCATAAATATCAATGGGGAGAGGAATTCTAGGTGTGAGCTTTACAGAGAGGCTGCCTTGACCTCTCCAGGTAGAGAGTCGGTCCCTCCCAGGCCGCACGGAGCTCCGACTGCCCGGCTGCCCCACTCCTGTGTCTTTTGGTCTCCTTGTTTTTGTCGCCTTCCCTGTGGATGGAGAGGCTGGTAAGTGTGCTCCTCTGAAGGATTGCCCACTTTCCTCCAGCCCATGTTGGGCTGTGTGGTGCCCTAGTAGAGTTTGCACCATTGTGGACACTTACCTAGGTACTATGGGGATTAAGAAAAGCATAAATGGGGGTTGGAGGTATAACTCAGTGGTAGAGCAGTTGCCTAGCACATTTGAGGTACTGGGTTATTATCAGCACTGCATCAAAATAAATAAATAAAATAAAGATATTGTTCTTCAACTAAAAAAAAAAATTAAAAAGCATAAAAAAAAAAAAAGAGGGCTGGAGCTTTAGTTCAGTGGCAGAGTACTTGCCTAGCATGTATGTGTAAGGCACTGGGTTCAATCCTTAGCACCACATAAAAATGAAATAAAACAAAGGCACGCTATTCATCTATAACTACAAAAAAAAAAAAAATTAAAAAAAAAGAGAAAAGAAAAGCATATTTGGCCTTGCCTTTTGGGAACTTAGTGTAATTTTGCAGGAGTCTGCTACTCAGGAAGAGACAAAGAATCAGTTGTAGTTCAGAAAAGGGGGAGAGAGATGAGCAGAATAATCTGAGGAAGTGTTTTGCAGGGGGTCTGGTGCTAGCCATGGAGAAGGCACAGCATTTGCAGTTAGGATCTGAGACACCCTTGGGTCCTCTGGGTGCCCAGCAGGATTCTGATTGCTTTTATTAATGCTATCCCCACTTCTCCTGTCTAGTTATTGAGGATTCCTTTCTACCAATACCGCTCAGGCCTCTGGTCATGTGCTTACAGGAAACCTGGGCCCATGTAGACATGCCTTCTAATTCTCTGTTATTTTGAGGAGCCTGTTGACCTTGTCTGCTTCCTTCCCTTGCCAATTCCAGTTCTCCTGGCTTTAATTGTATTGGGAGTGAAGGGTGAGGGTAATGACCAACTGTAAGTGCTTGAATGTTTTTGTCTTCAGATGCAGAGGTCATAGTAGGAACCACGAGGCCAGAGACATTGCCTGGAGATGTGGCTGTGGCCATTCACCCTGAGGACTCCAGATACACAGTAATTAATACAAAATGTGCTGCCTGCACAATAGCCCTCCTGCCCCCATGGTTAACCCTCCTTTCTCTGAAGATGCTGGCTTTTACTCTCCTCTTCCTACTTCTGTTTGTAAGACTTTTTCTTTCATCCCAGCTTGGCAGTGGCTGTGACCCTGTTCCCTTCTCATGTTGTGCTTTTTCTCAGCTCTTAGTGTTGACTATAGTGGCCCATCGACCAAATCTAGCTACTGCCTATTTTTGCCTGGGGATTGAACCCAGGGGCATTTCACCATTGAGCTACACCCCCAGTTCTTTTTATTTTTTATTTTGAGACAGGGTCTCACTAAGTTGGTAATGGTCTCATTAAATTGTCAAGGTAGGCCTTGAACTTGTGATCTTCCTGTCTTGGCCTCCCAGGTCATTACTGTGCCCAGCTTGCTATTTTTGTATGAATAACATTAATTTGTTTATGTATTATCTATGGCTTCTGTTGTATTTAATTTTATTTAATTGTATTTAGTTTCATTTAATTTTGCCACACTGACAGTGGCAGCATGGAGTAATTTTTCAGAGACTAATTTTTTTCTCCCCTTTTTCTAAATTTTTTAACTGATACTCAGAGACTAAATTTGCCTCTTGGCTCCAAAGCCTAAAATATTTACTGTTTGGCTCCTGAAAGAAAAGTTGGCTGACCTTGCTCTAGTTCTTTACCTTCTGGTTTCCACCCTCTTGTTCCCAAGTTTCTCATGCCCAGACCTGTCCTTCCCGTAACATGTGTCGATCCCTGTTCCTGATTGCCTATCTTTATCCCTTCCCTTCAGCATCTACATGGACGACAGCTTCGCCATCCCTTGACAGGACATCTTCTTCCCCTCATCACAGACACTGCTGTTCAGCCACATATGGGCACAGGTGAGCAGAGGCCAGGGGTTGGGAGGGAGGTGCCCTGGGGGAGAGGGGAGTGAACTAGGAGAAGGAAGGAAGTAGAGGAGTGAAATCTGAATGGGTAGAGGGGAAGGAACAGGAGGTAGACAGAAGATGGGAGGCATGGGGAGGTGTGGGTGATGATGCATCTGAACCAAAGGCCAAGGTCAGGATCAGTGCTCACTGCAGTTGTGCTCCCCCAGGGGCAGTGAAGGTGACTCCTGCTCATAGTCCTGCTGATGCTGAGATGGGGGCCCGACATGGCTTGAGTCCCTTGAGTGTCATTGCGGAGGATGGGACCATGACTTCTCTCTGTGGGGACTGGCTGCAGGTGGGACCAATCTTGGTGTTAATCCATCCTCTGGGGGCACTCTCTGCCCTGCCTTCCTTTCCCATTTTCTTGTTTCTCTAAGGCCTTTAATGTTTGCTGTCTCCATTTTCTTCCTAGGGTCTTCACCGATTTGTGGCCCGGGAAAAGATTATGTCTGCGTTGAGGGAGCGGGGCCTGTTCCGGGGTCTCCAGGAACACCCCATGGTGTTGCCAATCTGCAGGTAGTCCTGCTTTAAACTCCTTTACTAAGGGCCATGCCCAAAAGGGAGTAGATGAAGATTAAGAGTGTCAACGGGATGGGCTCTGCACCCTATGTTAGAATACAGGTTCTGAGCTGGATGTAGTGGCACACTCCTATGATCTGAGCTACTCAGGAGGCTAAGGCAGGATGATTGCAAGTTGAAAGGCAGCCTTAGCAACTTAGTAAGACCCTATCTCAAAATAAAAAATAGAAAGGTCTGGGGATGTAGCTCAGTGGTAGAACCCCTCCCCCCCAACCAGTACTGGAGGAAAAAAGCAAAAAACAGGTACTCTGTTGGTTTTATTCATTGCTATATCCTCAGTACTGAGGGCCTGGCATGGAGTAGAGTCCCTGGGAGAAGGTGCAGGGCTTGCAGAATGATGGGATCACTGTTTACCTTTCAGCCGTTCTGGGGACGTGGTAGAATACCTACTCAAGAGCCAGTGGTTTGTCCGCTGCCGGGAAATGGGGGACCGAGCTGCCAAGGTGAGGCTGCAGTATGAGGAACAACTGGCCCTGGGAATGGGGAGCTCTCTGATAATTGGGATGAAGAAACTAGAGGCCAGAGAACTTCCTGCCCCAAAGATCTATAGCTGTGGTAATTGAGGGGAGTGATGTGTGGGATAGAGACAAGATGGCCCATGGAGGGCTGGCTTGTAGTCTCACTCAAGCCCAGAATCTCCTCAGAAAGCTTTTGAGGTCCTTTCTGAGTTTTAAAACCACTTCAGAGGCAACCTGTCTCATCCCAGGAGGTGTGGGCATACAGGAAGGGGAGCATTGGTTAAAGGCCTTTTCCCTTCTAGGCTGTGGAGTCAGGGGCCCTGGAGCTGTCTCCCTCCTTCCACCAGAAGAGCTGGCAGCATTGGTTTGCCCACATTGGGTAAGGGTCAGAGGAGCTCTCGTGGAGATGGATGGAGATCCTCTTCATATGCTGAAACATCACTGATGTCCTCTCTTCTTGGCAGAGACTGGTGTGTTTCCCGGCAGCTGTGGTGGGGTCATCAGATTCCAGCCTACTTGGTCATCGGGGAGCATGTGAAGGTTGGTAGGAGGAAGCTGGGCGTGGAGGAAAGAGCCATAGCCAGGAGTCAGAGGACTGCCAGTCCCAGCACCTGCCTCTTGATGTGTTTTATGGTCTTGGTCACGTAGCCTCATGTGGCAAAGGCTCCCTGAATCGGAGTTTCTTCCTCTCACCGCCCAGAGGGGACCAGTCATTCTAAGACACTGGAGAGAACATGAAGACTAAGAGACATTTTATGCCTGTCTATTGTTATTTGTCCTCGATCTCCCCCACCCCCTAATTTTTCAGGATGACAGGGAGGACTGTTGGGTGGTTGCACGTTCAGAGGCTGAGGCCAGAGAGGTAGCAGCAGAACTGACAGGGAGACCAGGCGCAGAGCTGACCCTGGAGAGGGGTGAGTGCTTGAGCCTGAGGGGAGGGCAGGATGGCTGGGTCTTTCAGCTGGAGAGGTGGGGTTGGGCAAGCTGGAAATGGAGTAACAAGTAAGCCCCCTGTTCTCTGGGGTGTGTTGGCCTGCAGGGATGGGCATCAGTGGTTTGAGGTGCTAGATGCTGAGGTTCCAATTGTCCCCAAACCCTATTCTGTTTCCCAGACCCCGATGTCCTGGACACGTGGTTCTCTTCAGCTCTTTTCCCTTTTTCTGCCCTGGGCTGGCCCCAAGAGGTGAGGTGGAGATAATGAAGAAAGTGGACAGCTGGGCCCCCACAGAGTTGAGAAGAGCCCAGGCGAGGGCTTGGGCTTCTTACTATTTATGTCTTCCTCCTAGACCCCAGACCTTGCTCGTTTCTACCCACTGTCGCTTTTGGAAACCGGCAGTGATCTCCTGCTGTTCTGGGTGGGCCGCATGGTCATGCTGGGGACCCAGCTCACTGGGCAGCTCCCCTTCAGCAGGGTAACAGTCTTTCAATGCCCTTCCCTTGTTGTAGATCCCCAGGTTTCCCCAAACCTCTCCTTCCTTCTAGCTCCTGATACATTTTCTGTGTTCCCTTTTTTCTGATCCACTGCCTACCCTAACCATAAAGTATAGAGGCCAGAAAGATCTGAGCTCCTCTGCTGACCTCTTCTATCCCCCTAGGTACTTCTTCATTCCATGGTTCGGGACAGGCAGGGCAGGAAAATGAGCAAGTCCCTGGGGAATGTTCTGGACCCACGGGACATCATCAGTGGGGTGGAGCTACAGGTGAGAATGAATGCCCTGGCTTGGGAGTTGGGGGAATCTGAGGAGAGGGGCCAGCTGGAAGGGATAAGAGGGGTGAGGGACAGCAGGTGTGAGTCTTAATAGGGGCAGGCTTTTGACCTAGGTCAGTGGCCTCCTCATGCATCCGCAGGTGCTACAGGAGAAGCTGAGAGATGGGAACTTGGATCCTGCAGAGCTGGCCATTGCAGCTGCAGCACAGGTGAGATGCCACGCCTGCCCATCTGAGCCTCTAGTTCAAGGGTTTCCTCTGCAGCCCCTACTTTAGCCCTGTAACATCTGTCACCATCTTTTTCCTCTGCAGAAAAAGGACTTTCCTCATGGGATCCCTGAGTGTGGGACAGATGCCCTGAGATTTGCACTGTGCTCCCATGGAGCCCTGGGTGAGCCTGGGGTGGTGGACTGGGCGTAAGGCAGCCAGATACCTGTGCAAGAGAGGCAGGCAGGATCTAGGATTTCCCATGCTGCTGCCCACATAAAAACTCCTTTGTTCTCTTCCCTCCAGGGGGCGACCTGCACCTGTCTGTCTCTGAGGTCCTAAGCTGCCGCCATTTCTGCAACAAGATCTGGAATGCCCTGCGCTTTATCCTCAATGCCCTAGGGGAGAACTTTGTACCTCAGCCTGCAGAGCATGTGAGATCCAGGAGTGGTGCTTGGAGTGGGGAAGGTCTCATATCCAAAGGCTGAAGGAGCACCTCCAAGGAGAGGAAGTAGGGGAGTGGGAGGTCGATCCATCTGGCTCCTGATCTCCCTCTGCCCACAGATCTCTCCCTCCTCTCCCATGGACACCTGGATGCTCAGCCGCCTGGCCCTTTCTGCCCAGGAGTGTGAGCGGGGTTTCCTCACGAGGGAGCTCTCACTCGTCACTCACACCCTGCACCACTTCTGGCTCCATGACCTCTGTGATGTCTACCTGGTGAGTGGCCAGTTCAAGGCTTGGCCAATGGTAGTACTCCAGTGAGTGGCACTCCTGCTAGTTTCTGCTGAAATTGGGGCCAGTGGCCAAAAATGAGTTAACAAATTCTTACTTTTCCTTAGATAGGAAAGGAAGGTCCAGGGGGTTCCTAGCTCCCATCTTCCTTGGAACTGGCCTGTGTAGCACAGCCACTGTCAAGCCAGGTACTTGCTGTGGCAAGATAGGAGGAAGGGAGACTTCTAGAAAAAAGTTTCACAAATCAGTGTTGGAAGGCAAGGGGAATTTTTTTCCCCCCATGATTGCTTTATTTAGACTATGGGCAGGTTGGGTGCTGTGAGTGGCCTGGGAGGAGAGAGTTGTAGACCAGGGCTCCTGCCTCAGTGCCCCACCTCACCAAGAGGGCTTGTTGACCACAGATTCCTGTCCACACCCAGCAGCTCCTTCAGTGGGTTAGGCTGGATCTTGAAAATGTTCATTTCTTGTCCCAGGGGATGCTGCTGGCTGTGGACCAAGTAGTAGCTTACTGTTTCTTAACATTATTAAAATAAGGTTAAGACTGATGATGTGGCTCAGTGGTAGAGTGCTTGTCTAGCTTGTACAGGGTTCAGAGCTCAATTCCCAGCACCTCATAAATAAATGAGTAAATAAGAAAAATTTAAAAATACAATGAGGTTGAATAAGCTAAAAACTGATTCTCCCCCTTCCCCAAACTACACATCTCCCTGGAAATCTTATTCTTGCCCACTGGTGAGAATTATTGTCCTGGATTTCCCCTCTTCATGTTCTCTAGTATATGTCTAGGGATAGCTAGTGGTCTCAGACATGCTAGGTGCTCCTGCTTGTCCCTCTCTCCAAGAAACTGTTTCTGCTGGCTCCCAGAGCTCCCCACAGGTATGCTAGCAACTGTGGGGGGAAGGATGTGTCTGTGGCCTATCCTCTGATCTCTTGACTTCCTCCTTAGGAAGCTGTGAAGCCAGTGCTGTCACACATACCCCGCCCCTCAGAGCCTCCTCAGGTCCTGTTCTCCTGCGCAGATGTTGGTCTCCGCCTCCTTGCCCCACTGATGCCCTTCCTGGCTGAAGAGCTCTGGCAGAGGCTGCCTCCCAGGGTTGGCAGTCCCCCTCCCCCCAGTGTCTCTGTGGCCCCTTACCCCAGTGCCTGCAGTTTGGTGAGTCACAGACATGGTACCTTGGAATGGGACTCCTGATCAAAGTTGGGAGCAGCCTTATAGGGTTCACTGTGGGGTTACTGCTGTGTGGCTTGTTCTTTCTGTGAGTGTTTGGGAGGATGGTTCCTGCCAGATTGCTGGTAAAACTCCAGGGTCTTGAGGAGCAGTGTTAACATAATGGTCAAGAGTAGGACCTTTGGTAGACTAATACTATGTGACTGTGCTTCAGTTTCCCTTATCTTTAAACTGGTGATAGTAATAGTATATGCCTTGGTTGTGATAAAGGTTAGATGAGGTAGTAATAGATTATCAACATAATTTCAGCAGCTTTTTTTTTGGGTAATGGGGATTGAACTCTGGGGCACTCGACCACTGAGCCACATCCCCAGCCCTGTTTTGTATTTTATTTTGGGACAGGATCTCACTGAGTTGCTTAGCACCTCGCTATTGCTGAGGCTGATTTAAACTTGCGATCCTCCTGCCTCAACTTCCTGAGCCACTGGGATTACAGGCATGCACAACCACGTCCGGCTATCTCAGTAGCTTTCATAACTTAAGAATGATAAGCACTACAGATTCACCCAAAAATTATTTTAAAGTTTATTTTGGTATTTATTTGGAATTTTGAATAGTGTTTTAAATTTTAATTTAGGTTTGGTTATTGGCTATCTTCAGTCAGAGCAACTAAACAGTCATCAAACCTTAGATGGCTCCTCACTTGCTACCATATTCCTGGAAGTGGAGCATTTTATGTGCTGTTGAGAACAGATCGGTTGCCCTAAGGAGATGGGTGGGCATGGATGGGGTGAGGATACAGCCAGTAATGTTGATGCTGAACCTCCTGGGAGCCCCTTTGCCAATGCTGGTTCCCCCCTTGCCAGGAACACTGGCGCCAGCCCGAAATTGAGCAACATTTCTCCAAGGTGCAGGATGCTGTGCAGGTGCTGAGGGCTCTCCGAGCCACCTACCAGCTCACCAAAGCCCGGCCTCGAGGTGAGGAGGCTCCTGAATACCTGGGTGTCTGCAGGAAGAAGGGATTGATGGGGGAAGAGAACAGCCTGGAGGTCAGACCCCAGGGTCTGGATGTACAGGATGGAAAGTGAGGCAGGAGCAGCTGATGTTGGAGCCGTGACATTCTCTCCTTCTCCAGTGCTGCTGCAGAGCTCGGAGCCAGGGGAGCAGGGTCTCTTCCAGGCCTTCCTGGAGCCCCTGGGCACCCTGGGCCATTGTGGGGCTGTTGGTCTCCTACCACCAGATGCAGCGGCTCCCTCTGGCTGGGCCCAGGCCCCACTCAGTAACACCATCCAGGTCTACATGGAGCTTCAGGTGACCAGAGGGGCCTGGAGGGATTGAGAAGAATGCTGGGTGGAAGGGAACAACTGAGGAAGAGGTGGAGAAGGTGGAGGCCTGGGCAAGCTGCAGATGTCTCAGCCTTTTTTCCCTGTTCTTCCCCAGGGCCTGGTGGACCCCCAGACCCAGTTACCTCTGCTAGCTGCCCGAAGGCACAAGTTGCAAAAGCAGTTTGATGGCCTCATGGCCCGGACCCCATCAGAAGGGGAGGCAGAGACCCAGAGGCAGCGAAGGGTGAGGCTTGGGGTGGCCACCCTGGAAACCTGAGTTCTGGAGGGAGCTTGGGCTGGGAGGATGAACTGTATCCTCACCTTCTCCTCTTACAGCTTTCCTCCCTCCGCCTGGAATTGTCAAAACTGGACCAGGCAGCCTCTCACCTCCAGCAGCTGATGAATGAGTCTCCTAGCCCCAGGAGCTCTGAGCTCTAACTCACCAGCCCTTCAGTCCTTCTTCCTAGACATGTATCTGGGGACAGCAGATCTGTCAGTGGTTAGGGTCTGATGGGAACTCAGACTAGTGGTCCACCTTTCTCATTTTGTAAACGAGGAAGCAGACTGGCCTGGTCACCATGACTGGTATCTCAAGATGCACGGGTTACCCCCTGAGCCTTACACTTGCTCAGGGTTATCCAGGACATTTGGGAATGAGGAATTCAGATAAACTTTTAAAATCTCAAGAGTTAGATAGCAGTGGCACATACCTGTAATCCCAGTTACTGGGGAGGCTGAGGTAGGAGGATTGCAAGTTCATGGCCAGCCTGGGCATCTTAGTAAGATCCTGTCACAAAATAAAAAATAATAATAATAGGAGCTATAGATGTAGCTCAGTGATGGAGTGCCCCTGGGTTCAGTCCCTAGTACTGAAACAAACAAACAAATAAATAAATAAAATCCCAAACACATTTGCCTGTGGTCCTTTTTTCCTCTTTCCCTTAATGGTGACTTTCTTGCCTGTCCATTATTCCTTGACAGCCTGGTCTGGAGATGAAGGCTACCTGTAAAATGATACTTATTTGGGTCTTTTGACTGCATGGGAGTATGGGTGCTGGGTGGCACCTGTCTTGCTGAGGGAAGCTTTCCAGTGGTGGGGCAGGGCACAGGCTCAATGACCATGGCCCAACCCACTGGCAGTGTCCTGGCTGCTTCAGGGACTTCCTTCAGCCTGCAGGGCTGTAGGGTGCATTGGGAGTTATGTGCCTTCTACCTTTTGTGCAACTGAGACCTGAGCACCACAGTCACAGTGCTCAAACCCTGACTGAGTTATGTGCAGATACACAACTAGCCACCCTTCCCACCCCAAACACCCTTGTCTCATATCAGCGGAATTAGAAGTACTAGCCCTTCTGCACCCAAATTCCATTCTATTCAGCAGCTCTAAGTTGCTATTTGTGGCAAGTTGATCATGGGCTGGGTCCTTCATGGTGCTCCTGGTATAATACCATTTAATCCTACCAAGCACCTCATGAAGTGGGCGTTAGCTTCATTCTGGAGATAAAGAAACGTACTCAGACTGAAAGTAACTTATCCAAGGTATCAATGGGGATTTAACCCAATTTATTTAACCTTATAACTTGCAGGTCCTTTCTGGATGCTGGAATCAAACCTCCTAATGGGGATTTAGATAAGATGGATGTTTCTCTTTCTGGGCATAAGTAGAGGAGAGTTTTGCAATAATGGGAGTCCATGTCCATTTTAATCCTATTTTCCTACCATTCTGATATGCTTTCTGTGTCCAAGATCTGCTCCAGCTCCTACCACCATGTCTGTGTCCCTCCCTGGAGGGAAGAGAGAAAGAAGGGGTGAGCAGTCCCCTATTTCTTTTCCCCAGGTTTGACAAGTTTTTCTTGATGCCTACTATGTGCTGGTACCTATCAGAAATAAGTAACATGGGTCAATAAGTAAATGATACAGCATTTTTTGAAAGTTATAATGTTAATAGGGGAAGAAAGGGTAGAATAGGGTAAAGGGACTTGAATGTGTTGTGTAGGAGGCAACTCTGTAATATTAAATAGGGGAGCAGGGTTGATCTTATGAAAGTGAAGTTTGAGCAAAGACTTGTGGCAGGTGTGGCCAAGTGAATGTCTCAGGTAAAATGTTCTAGATGATGTGAAAAGCCAGAGCTTGTGTGGACATGCCCATGGTGCTCAGAGTAGCAAGGAGGCCAGTGTGTGGGGCACAGCCAGCTCAGGGAGGCTCAGGGAGGTGAAGTCAGCAGCTGAGGGAGGCAGTGAGGAATAGGGAAGGCTCAGGATCTTTCAAGGCTGTAATGTCCAAAATGGTTGACTATTTAATACAATTGAAATGAAATAAAATGAGACATTCAGTTCCTTAGTCACACTAGTCACATTTCAGTTGTTTAATATCCATAGGTGGCCAGTGGCTACTACATGGTCAGCATAGTTATAAAACATTTCCATCACCACAGAAAGTTTTTTGTAGATGAGTGTGGTGGTGCATGCCTGTAATCCCAGTGGCTCAGGAGGCTGATGCAGGAGGATCACAAGTTCAAAGCCAGCCTCAGCAATCGTGAGGCACTAAGCAACTCAAGTGAGACCCTGTCTCTAAATAAAATACAAAATAGGGCTGGGGATGTGGCTCAGTGGTTGAGTGCCCCTGAGTTCAATTCCTGGTACGCCCTCCTCCAAAAAAAAAAAAAAAAAAAAAATTCTGTTGGAAAAAACATTGTATTGTAGATAGTTTTAAAACCTGAGTTTTTTTCTCTCTGAAGTGGAAGCCCTTTTCTTTCAACTTATTACACACTTCCTTTCTATTTGCATCCTCTTGGACAAACCTAACCACATGGCCATATCTATTGGCAAGGGAAGCTGGGAAATGTAACATAATGAGCTATGTGCCCGAACTAAGATGTATGTGAACGTCCAAAATGGAGAATGACTATTAGGGGGATGGCTAGCCATCTCTGCCACCCCCAGTTCCAGTGAAATCCAAAGCATTCTCTTCATTGTACTGCTCTGTTTCCAATCTAGGAAGATAATTCTTGAAGAAAATAATCTGGAAACCATGCCCTGGTGATTCCAGGCCCTGAGATCTAGGAACCTGGTTGCTATCTGTTTCTCCAAGAGAGGGATTCAGACATGCAGTCCCCAAACTTGCCTGGGGATGTGCACATCTGGACCATGGGGGTCACCTGCTCACTAGTTCAGACTAGGGGCAAGTCATGAAACACTGGTTTCCTTTGGGACCCCCTGGCTACCTCTTTTCAGGGCTAACTGTCTCAGGACAGTTGAAAAGGACAGTAGAGAAACTTGTTTTTGGTTTCTTCTTCCATTTCTACGCTTCATCATATTCAGGTATGTTCACTATTCAACTCTTGTCTTCCCCATCACCTTCTAGGGAAGCCAGACTCTCCTTTCATATAGTGGTGATGGTGGCTGGGTGGAGATGGTGGGCAGAGGCAGGTACTGGGGAAGAGAGGAAGCAATCATAACACCCATAAGGAGTCAGTTTTGGGCTTCAAACTTGTGTCTTGAGAGGTGGTAAGAAACCCAGTTGAGCGACCAGTGAGCTACATCCCCAGCCCTTTTTATTTTTTGTTTTGAGAGATGGTCTTGCTAAATTGCTGAGACTGGCCTTCAACATGAGATCTTCCTGCCTCAGCCTCCTGAGTAGCTGACATTACTGGTGTGTAACGTTGCTCTAGGCAAAACCCAAATCATTTTGAGAGGACTTATATGAATGCCTGTATCAAGAAAATAGAATGTAAAGGACTCTGAACTCTTGAAGTGACTAGGTATTTCTAGCATAAAAACAGTACTTTCTGACTATGCCCACATGTTATGTCCCCAGGGAGCTTATCCATGTAATCCTCACAACAGTCCTATGGCACAGGCACTTTTGTTGTCCCCATTTTATGGGTAAAGAATTGGAGGCTCATAGAAAATAAAAACCTTTTAGGACTCAGGGAGTCCTGTGTGACCACAGATTCATGTGGTTATCTGGCACAAGCTCACCTAACATGGGTCCCACTACTTGGGCCAGGCCGGCCAACCTCTTGGAGCTGAAGCCCCTGTCCCTCTCTTAGCTGTCTCCCACCCTGTCCTCATCCTGATTGGCTTGTGTGGATCCCTGGGCCATTTGCTCATTTGTGAAATAAGATATGATACCTATTAGGCTACATTTGAGATTGTTACAAGCATTAAGATGGGAAAGCATGAGGCCTGGAATAAACAATTGGAATAAATAATTTGATAACTGTTACTTTTCTTTATTCCCAGGTGTTCTGAAGACTTCTGCTGGAAATGTGTGTTCGTGTGTGTGTGTGTGTGTGTGTGTGTATGCGCGCATGTGCGCATGCCTAATAGTTAATTAATTCCTCAGATTCCTTCTAGACCTTTGTGGTGTTGAGAGTTCATCCTGGAACACTCTGCTCAGGAGTGGGGAGGGTCAGAGACTTGGGCATCCAACACCCACTTTCTGCCGCCCTGTGTTCATGGATTTGTCAAGTCAAGACATTGGATATAGCATTTTATTGGCACACAGCAGGACAAGAATCTGTTGGAAGACAGGGTCAGGATATGACCTTGCACCCCAGGGGACTGATTCCCTTAGCCAACACAGGCTTCAGTTATTTCCAGGTTTTGCAGATGAAGTTGTGCGGGGTTCCTTCATGATGGAGGGTGACGTTGGTCTCTGATGGGAGGTGGAGAAGAAGGCAGAGCTGGGGAACAGAAAGGGATAGAGGATGAGGTTTAGGATGGCTCCTTACTCTCACCCTTGAGACAGCCAGACCCCTGCAGAGATACCCAAACTGACTCACAGAAACAGATAGCCCCATACTTTCCCCTCCCCAGATTCTACCTTTTTGAGCAACTCTGGGAAGCTGGAGTTATGGGAGACATTTGCCGGAAAAGATGCCTTCAGCTTCATTTGCAAAGTCACACTTGGCCCTGGGGATCCAAAAGGACACAGAAGTCAGAGCAGTGAACCTTTAAGGAGGCAGGCACCGTCCTGTGATACACTTTCCCTCTTGGGGCAGGGTTTCATTCTGTTTTTTCAGAAGCTCAGCACTGAGATGCCTCCATTTTTTTTTTCCAGAGGCCAAGAAGTCCCCCTCACCTTCTTCTGATTCTCCTTGCCCTGAGGACCCAGGTGTTCACCCTCTAGCACTCACCTGCTCCATATGAGCTGCCAAGAAGGGCCAGGAGGAGGAAGAGAGGCAGCGCAGACCCCATTGTAGCCACCTTACAACTCTATTGTAAGGAAGAGATATCTGAAATCCCAGGTGGCCTCTCCTTACCCTCAGTCCTTAGCACCTGTGTTTGGCAGAAAGGGTGTGGGGGTCTGGGCAACTGGATTTTCCAGTTCTCTCAGTAAGGTTTTGAGGACCCTGGAGAGGGCCATTCACTGGGCTCTTGGGGAAAGTAGAGTGGTCCCCTTGGAGGTCCAGTGGTGCAATCTGTTTGTCCTTAGTGCAGCTTGTGTCCCACCCCTTCTCCATGTCTTCAAGCTTGGGAGGCAGGAAGAGGGAAATGGAGAGGGAAGCAGGGAACTAGGGAGGTGTCCTGCCTGCAGGTGTCTGGATCCCACCCAGGTCCAGCCTCTCATTAGGGATTAATTATTAACTACTGTTAATTGTCATCATTCCTGCCACCAAAGGGCTCAGGAATGTGGGCCCCAAAGGGAGGGGTGGATTAAGCCTGGCTTCTTCCTAAGCCCAGGTGTCCTGCTTTCTAGGTGAGGATAATAGGGTAATGGGTAAACTTATCTGAATGTTTTGAGTTAGTTGCTCTAATGCATCCTAGATACTCAGGTGGAGACACATTTCATCCACTATCCTCCCCCATTTCTGGGGGATACTACATACTCCAACCAAGACCCGGGTGCACAGGCACGCAGGCAGAAGGGCAAGCACAGAGGGAGCTGGGGGCCTATCTAGTTTACTGCCCTTCTTTAAAAACTAGGAAACTAACTGCCCAGAGAGGGTTAATGACTTGCTAAAGTCACTAGCAGGTCAGTAGCAGAGGGATTAGTCCCTCATGATGCTAGACACACAGGAACATGCTCAACAGACCGACACTCAAGTGACATCTAAACCCACTTGATCACACAGGGGCACAGGTTCTGCATCTTCCTGTCTCTTCCCTGTGTCACCCTTTGCTCCTCCAAAAACAGTGGGACTGAGTGCTGAGGGGTAGAGGCAGAGGGACCACTGGGAAGAGTCAGGGAGAGAAGCCAAAAGCAAAGCAAGACCAGGGAGTTGGAGAGAGGGAGGGAAGGCGGTGGGGGGGGGGAGAGAGAGAGAGAGAGAGAGAGACACTGCACTCTAAACCTGCAGTGAGACCTTCAGGGACTCAGATGCTTCCTTGAGGAAGCAGGAAGACCCAGTGGGAAGGAAAATGGGCAAAAAAGAGCAGCAGACATAGGAGGGGAAGAAGGGTGGACACAGAGAGATACACTAGGGTGTCTGGACCTTCCTGAGAGAGAAGCACCCTGTTTCTTTCCCAGCCGGTGTTCCCCTCTTTCTACATAACCATAGCCAAAATGACTGTGTGCTAGGCTTATTACAAACACTATTTCCTTTAACAGTTATAATGACCCTTTGATTTATTTTGTGGTGCTGGGAAAGGGTCGTGTGCTTGCTAGACAAGTGCTCTACCACTGAGCTATATCCTCAACTCTATAATGACCCTTTGTAGTGAGTCCCAGATCACCCCTGTTTATAGGTGGAGAATCTAAGACATAGATAGGACGCCCGAGGATCCACAGCTCAGCAGTGGTAGATGCCTGCACCGCAGACTCAGCCCCAAAGCTGAACTTCTGGAATTCAGGGATATGTACTTTGTGCCTGAACTTGACAAGTGCCTTCCCTGGTGTACCTCTTCTTCCTTTGCCCCTTCTCTGCCAAGGGGACAGGAAACTTTGCATGCTGCAGCTGACTAGGTGAGAGATTGAAACAGACTCAAAATCTCTCCATATTGTTTTAATTTTTAAACTTCTTTACACTGAGAATATAAACTACCCTGTGCCCCACCGACTTACTCTTAGGTCACACTGTCTAGCTAATCTACATATGTCTATTTCCTGCTGCTTTTTCTACTTTGCTGCCTCTGCTTATAAAAGCTTTCCTGGCTCTTAAATTTTCTGAAGATGGTGATTTGAAACATAAAAGTTTCCTCTATCTTCCTTCAAAGCTGGCTTTGAATAAAACTATTTTCTTGCCAGTTTGACTCCAAGTATTTGTGGAGCATGATGAGTGGTAAACCTACCTGGTCCCACCCCCACCCAGAGCAGTAACAAGATAGCTCAGGTATCCAGTCTCCCACTCCATCCTGGGGTCTCCTGAAGGTCAGGTGCACAGTCCCCGGGCCTGACCATCTTTCCTTGCAGCATCAACTCCCAAGTCCTGCTTTCCTGAGGGACCCCTATGTTCTGACCCTCAGTAGTTGTATTTTTAGGAGTGAGAAGAGAACCTTAGGATAGTATAATTGGGACTGCCTGTTTTGAGGAGGGCTGAGCTGAGGACCAACTTTGGCCGAGGGAGGGGGGAGGTTGCTAGTACATGAAGAGCTCATCCATTTAGAGAACTTAGGCTCACTGGTGGCTCAGAGTGGGGATTCTTGTGCTCTAAGTGGAGCGCAGCAGTTTTCCAGGGCTTCTTGTGGCTCTACAAAAACCCCTCTTCCTCAGCAACTTTGTGAAACCCTGTTTAAAAATAAAAAATAAAAGGACTAGCGGGGCTGGGGTTGCACGTGTGAGGCACTGGGTTCGATCCTCAGCACCACATAAAAATAAATAAGGGTATTGTATCCATCTATAACTTAAAAATATTTAAAAAAATTAAAAGGACTAGGGATGAAACTCAGTGGTAAAGAACCTCTGGGTTCAATCCCTAGTACAAAAAAAAAAAAAAAAAAAGCAAGCAAACAAACAAAAAGCCCCCCAAACTCAAAAAAATAAAAATAAAAAAAACCAACATAGACCCATCTTTCTGTTTTTCCATTCATCAATTTTCTGTTTTTCCATTCATCAACTTTTCAGTTTTTCCATTCATCAACTTTTTGTTATGTTGGTGAATGTTGTACTTGCCTAAGTTGCCTGTCCCCCACCATCCCCTGTCATGAAAACATTGACCTATGCATTTTTCCAGAAACTTTGCAATTTTTTAAAAGATAATTTTTTAGTTGTCAAAGGACCTTTATTTTATTTATTGATATGTGATGCTGAGAATCGAACTCAGTGCCTCACACATGCCAGGCAAGTGCTCTGCCACTAAGCCTCAGTCCGAAATTTTATCATTTTAATCTCAAATTTAAGCCTACCATCCATTTCAATTAGTTGCTGTGTATGGAGTGAAGTAGAGAACAAGCAAGATTCATGAATTTCCCCTTCTGGTTATCCAGGCACCCAGAACCATTTATTTCAGACTCTCCCCTCTCCTCTCCTCAGGTTGTGAGAGTACTTCAAATAAGTCAAGTGACCAGATCTGTATGCTTCTATTTCTGGGCTCTGTGCTGGCCTCTATCTGGCCATTCTTACCCCAGTGCCACAGTGCTTAGTGACTGCTTTGTGGCAAATCCTGAGATCTGAGAATGTAGGTCCTCCACTTCTGTTTTTATTTAAAATCATCTTGGCTATTTTCAGTCCTTTGATTTTTATAGAATCAGTTCAATTTCTTTTCTTTTTTCTCTTTTTGGTACTAAGGATGGAATCCAAGGGCACTTAACCAATTCTTTTTATTTTTTATTTTGAGACAGCGTCTTGCTAAATTCTTGGGCCTCCTGAGTTGCTGGGATTATAGGCATGTGCCATCATGCCCAGCTAAAATCAGTTCAATTACTACCCAAAGCTCACTAGGATCTTGAGAGAGAATGCACTAGAGATGATTTCTGCTTTGCTCTAGTTTGGATCTCTTCTAATCATTGATTTCCCTCTGCCCACCTAGGATCTGTCTCCTCCCTACAGACCGTGGAACTGCCCCAATCATGCCAGGGACTTCTGCGTCAAGTGTGGTCATCTCGGAAGCTTACACTTCCACAGTGGCTGGAGTGGCCACCCCGTCTGCAGCTCTCAGCGACCGGACCAGTGAGGCACTCTCACATCTGCTTGTTGCTTAATAACAGGGATAAGTCTGAGAAATGGGTCCTCAGGCAATCTTATCATTGTGTAAGCTTTATAGAGTGTACTTATGCAAGCCTAGATAGTATGGGTCAATCACTTAAGGTGGCCTCTTGGTGCAATCAAGAAATGTGTTAGGATTGGGGATGTAGCTCGTGGTTCAAAAAAAAGCAGTAAACTGGAGATGTACATGTCTGTTGCCAGCAAAACAAAGCAGACCATTTTACAATAAAGTAGAAGTACATGCTAAAATGATGATAAAAATAAAGTAAATGCATAAACCAATAGTACAGTTGTTGTTAATCATTATCAAGTCTTATGCATTAACCATAATTGCATGTGCTGTACTGTTTTTTTTTTTTTTTTTGAGGCTGGCTTTGAACTTCTAGACTCAAGTGGTCCTCTTGCCTCAACCTCTTTAACAGCTGGAATTATAGGTGTGTGCCACAGTGCCTGACTCCTGCTATGCTTTTATAAGTGGTGGTGTGACAGTAATTTATGCCATCATCACTACACACACACGTCAAATACATTGTGCTACCTTACAATGCTTACAACACTAGGTGGTAGGAATTTTTCATCTCCATCATAATCTTATGAGATCACCTTCATATATGTGGTTTGTCATTAACCAAAATGTCATAATGTGCCCGTATTAGGTGATTGTTTCTTCCAGTAAAATGTTAGTCAGGTCCATTCTCTTCCCCACTCTCCCCATTTTTATTTTATTTATTTATTTTTTTAATTGGTTGTTCAAAACATTACAAAAGAAAAACCCATTTTAAAAAATTGGTTCATTATAGTTGTACATAATCATCAGGCCCATTCTCTCTTATTCCCCTGCAGCCACCCCTGGATTCTGGAGAGGAATGTGGTATGAGAAATAGAAAGTCCTCGATCCATTTTCAGAATACAGTATCTTAATTGGATCCAGTTGTAGCCATTTCAATTATAGCCTTTCCCTTTGCCCAATCCAATTTTAAAATTAACCAATTGCTAATTGAAACCCTGAATGCCTCCAATCAGAGTGAAGGGCAGCACTGTATTAGGTTAGGGATATAAACAGGTGGACTTCCCATCCAGATGCGCTTGCTAGCCAGGTTCTGTAGCCCCTCCTTCTGTCAGAAGTAAACACCTTGCCCACCCACCTTCCAGCACATGTTTGATTTCTTGCAGCACCTTGGTATTTCTAACAATGAGAATAGCCATTAGCACCTCCCTTCCACTGTATTTTGAGTTTGTCTCCTCAGACAAATAATGCCTGTTATCTTATAGGGATCACAGTTTTCCTCCAACATGGGTCAGATTAAGAGCAGATGTCTGGTACCTGAAAGGTTTCGATCTTTCTTTTTTGTTGGTACTGGGGATTGAATTCAGGTGTACTTATCTACTGAGCCACATCCCTAGCCCTTTTAATATTTTATTTTGAAACAGGATCTCACTAAGTTGCTCAGGGCCTTGCCCACTTGCTGAGGCTGGTTTTGAACTTGCAATCCTCCTATCTCAGCCTCCCAAGCTGCTGGGATTTCAGGCATGCACCACTGCATCCGGCTGGTCTTTCTTCTTCATGCCCCAATCTGTCTGCCCAGGGCAGGAGGCACCCCTCCAGAGATCTTGCTCTCCTTCTGCCCCCTGTCTTCCTCTTTTCCTTCTGTTCATTCCTGATGAGCTTGGGGAATCTATCACCCAAGTAATCTGAGGACAGGAAATAAATGGAGGGAAGATGGGACAACAGGCTGTGGTATCCCCGAGGGACCAGAATCAGGAGAGGAAAAAGGAAGGCTGGGGCTCAGAGAAGGAGAGTGCCCACCTGGGGACCCTCAGTGCAGAGAAGGCACAAGCTTGAGAGAGACAGAAACAGAGCCTGAGATAAGGAGGAGGGTTCAGAAAGAGGAGAGAGGCAGATATCAGCAAGAAGTCTGGGGACTGTCCAGCCAGGCAAGGTGACACATGCCTGTAATCCCAGCAGCTCAGGAGGCTGAGGCAGGGAGGATAGCAAGTTCAAAGCAAGCCTCAGCAGTGAGGCCCTAAGCAACTCATGGAAACCCTATCTCTAAATAAAATAGGCTCCGTGGTTAAGCGCTGCTGGGTTTAATCTGTAGTACCAGAAAAA